TACTGCTACTGCTACTGCTACTGCTACTGCTACTGCTACTGCTACTGCTACTGCTACTGCTACTGCTACTGCTACTGCTACTCCTCCTCCTACTACTACTACTACTACTACTACTGCTGCTACTGCTATTACTACTACTACCATACTGCCACTGTTACTGCTATTGCTACTGATACTGCTACTACTACGACCACCACCACGACGACGGCATTCTAAACTGCTACTGCTGATACTAGTACGAGTACTTCTGCTACTACTTCTATGTTGACGACGCGGAAGACGGCGACGACTAGCGCCGATGCTCACTGTGATTCCCGTGCACTAGCATAGTAACCCATGCGTGATTCTGTCCAGCAGCCACGCCATGAATACTGCGGTAGGAGGAAAGCTCGCGGTTTCGTTAAACAGAGGCCCTCCCCCCTCCCCCCCCCTTGAATTCAGGACCCACCGGGTACTCCTCCGGAATATTTAAACATGGGGGTTGAACATACTCGCAGATGTTTAACTTCTAATGCCTTTCCCAGAAACAGCGTGAATTTTCTGGCCGATAGTCCAGCTACTTGCAGTTCGTGAGACGGTGCAGAAGCTTCCACAAGATTTGTAAGGAAGTCGCTGGAAAGTTTGACCCCCTCGCGGTTTCATTGAACACCTGTAGAATCGTAGCAACCAGGACCCACCGAGTACTCCTCCGTGGAACATTTCAAGTAGTATAATTTCAACACGGGTATAAACGATCTCTGCTAGCCGCTAGCCAGGCCACGTACTTCGAGCATCGGGCACTCCGCTACTCCGCAAGAGGTCTTAAGTCAAGAAAGGTCGCGAGGTCATGGAGAAAGAGAATACTGTGAAAACTCCCACGTTGAGGGCCTTGAGATGCGCAGCTTCAGTGTGTCAGATTAGGTGGTCGTGATAGTCTTGAAAACCGTTTCGCACCTTTAGCCAGAACATGTCTCGTGCGGCGACCCCCGCAACCAAGATTCGGAGTTGGGCTGACACGCGAATTGGATGGCTTTTGTGAGCATTAAAAGTTGAACTCAGCCGAAACTACAGAATAACTTAGGAGTACACAGTACACTCCTACCTGCATTACCTCAACTTTGTAGGGCCATTTCTCAGAAACACTACTGCCATAAAGGGGAAGAAAGCCATGGGATCAAGCAAGAGCAAGACCCATGCAAGCATGTCTTTATTTCAATCGGCCGTCACGATGTAGCATCGAGCTCAGGGCTAGTTTTGTGCAACACGGAAGCATGCTAAGTGTCATGACCTCGCATTCGCTCTGACCAAATAAGTAGCATGAATCTCTGCAGGCCTCTGTGTACTCCGGGCCTCCATAGCCATCGAGAGGCCTAGGGTGGAAGCGATGGGTTGTGAACGTAGTTCAAACAGCCTACTACGATCTAGAGTTTCCGGCTTCAGGTTGGTGCGACATTTTGGAGAGCTGCTGCACCAGCCCAACAAACGCTGAGTGCCCAGCGAGGCTCTGTTCTGGCAGAGGCAGCAGAGCTCTACTGCTTTCGAGCCCTGTCTTACTCGACGCGCGCAACGCTGTCCATTCTGTGAAACACAGCTGCCAAGCTGCAGCAACAAGTCTTCCTGTGTGCGGTGCAAGCCTGCAGCTGGCAAGCTGTAGCATCGATGAGCTGTACGTACGAACTTCAGAATGCACGACCACGCCAGCTTGTGTAGCCTCCCTTGGAGATTTCTACATCGCGTGAACTGCAGCAACGTGATTCTCGGCCATAAGCCGCGATACTCTTTTTCGCAGACTTTTCAAGCACAGCGTCGTCCGAGTGGGGCACATCAGATCCTCGGTCCCATTCGAGCTCCTGTTTCCCAGTGTTGCTTTTTGATGCGCAGGTGCGACAAATGAAGGTTTCGGATAACTGACGGAATAAACTTGAAATTTGCAACACTACGTGCCCGAACCCGAATCAGACGGTCAGCTCCAAAATTCAAAATCTCTCTGCCCAGCTGAACCCGAATTCCTGCAGATGAAACATCACCGGCAGTCTTTCAACTAAAAAATCTACAAGCGAAACGGGACCTGCTTCACCATCTGTGGATAAACTGCCAAGGCGAAGAACTGCCTGACGATTTCGATTTTTTCCGAGGGACCAGCTAGGATCTTGAATGGGAGGTGCTCACGGATTTGGGGTTCTCGAGATGTGCCTGTGTTCGGCTGCTTTATCAGGTTCAGGATTTAGAGACCATCGCTTTTTTCAAAAATTGAACCTCGTCTTTTGCAGGGTGGTTTAGGGTTGACGGCTTGCGCTGAAGATGGCTCTTGAGCCTGAACACGTGTCACGGCGAGGCAAAACCCAAAAACCTGTGTTTAGCAGCCACGTTGTTCATATTGCTTGCTTCCTAAGGTCCTAAACTCTTTACAAACCACGGCCTCTGGGACATCTGCCAGGCCATGAAGTTGTCCACCGGCTGATCCACTGGCAGCACAGACAGAAGCCTCGGGTTGAGGGCTTTTGTTTCTGCGTAGACAGGTCCGGAGTGCAGCTCGGTCCTTTTTCCCTTAGGCCTCCGGCTTTTGTGCACCCTGCGGCCAGAGGACGTAGGCCACTGTCCTCCCAAGACTGAACTTTAGGCCTGAGCTTCTAGAATCGTGCGGCTGTGCGGCTCTTCTAAAGGTTCGGAACGCTCAAAAAAAGACATCCAGGCATCGAGCCGGCGATTACTGACAGCTAAGCCTGAACTCCGCCTTTCATGGCTGCAGCTCAATCCCTGTGACAGAGACGAGGATCCCTTCAAGGCCTTTTCTAGGCACTGCGTCCTGTTTTGCTGCTGGGCTTTAGGTTCTCTAGGGTTCTCTAGACTTTACGGGTCTTTGGAATCGGGGCGTTGAATTTTGTAGGATGCAGGGCTGAACCCTAACCCCTGAGCTGAACCCTGGTTCAATATTGTTCAATACATGACTGCGACCCTCTCGTGGGCTTAGCCTGTAGAGTCCAGCTTCCAAGCGAGCTTTCCGACCCCAAAGGCTTTCACTGGATACCCGGGGCGCTGGCGTCCAAAGGTACTCTGCCTCGTATAAACCCGGAGCCAGTCGCTGCCTCGACACTTTTGTGCCGCATCCACGTAAAAGGCAGCCGTGATGAGAGCTGCTTGTGTCGGCAGAACAGAAAAAGAGACACTCTGTCGTGCAGCAGCTGCTATAGGGTCAGAACGGGTCTCAACAGGTCACCGTCTGCCTCCGGCCTCCAGGGCGCACCTTGGATATGCCCCAGGTACAATGCATCAGCAGACTGCTCCGCCGCTGCCAAGACAACGCGCTTCAAACGCCTCGGAGATGGATTATGAGGCTTAGACTTTAGAGTGCAGGGTTCGGCGGCGAGGGGAAGATGTTCACTGGGATAGCGGCCAGCAGCACAAAGACTGAGAGAAAGCAAGATATGACGAAGGGACTCTCGCTTTACGCTGCCCTGCATGGCAGTCCAGGTGATGTGGTGACTGGAGCCGCTAGCAACGCCCTCAGCTTTTGAATCGTGGTTCCATTTTATCATATCTTATTTCTGGCACGGGTTGGCGCCGCACTCCGAAGACACGTGACCTAGAAAAGCCACATGCTATACCATGAAACCCACCAAGTCCGGATCTTTTCCCAAGCGTCCAAGCAGCTTCCAGAATTGCTTTGCTGGTACAGCATCATCCTGAACCCAATCACTTCAATCCCTCCGGTTTCAGGTTCAGGGTTTACGTGCAAGGTTGAAGGCTGAGGACTTAGGCTAGGCTTCAGATGCGTTCAGGATTTGGGGCTTGCAAGCTTCAGGAAGGGTGTCGAGTTGCTTGCATGGCCTCTTTCGGACAATCGGGGTCTGAATGCTGCATTCACCCAGGCAAGAAAGTCAGAAGTGAAAACAAGGAGACAACAAGTACCATCTCATCTCAGGTCAATGAAACTTCTTGCGCCGAACTAGACCTGCCTCGAGAATCAGCACCGGCCTGCATCGAAAGCAACTCAAGCCATCAGCACCAGTCCTACACAAACACACAAACCCAACAAAACCGAACACACAAACACACATACCCACATATATATATATATATACACACACACAGACAAACACACACACACACAGACACACAGACATACAGACACACACACACACACATGCACACACGCACACACAGACAAACACACACACACAGACACACACAGACAAACACAGACACACACACACAGACACACACACAGAGACACACACACAGACACACACACACACACAGAGACACACACACAGACACACACACACACACACACACACACACACACACACACACACACACACACAGACACACACACACAGACACACACAGACACACACAGACACACACACAGACACACACAGAC